TGCTGAGATAAGCTTAGATTAAAGATATGTTTCAGAATAGGTACAAATATATCAGTGCAACCCTTAATAATGAATCCAGGGATGTCGTCGACTCCAACAGACTTAGATGGTCTCAGGCGCTTAATAGCTTTCATAACGTCAGACTCGGAAAGAGAAGCTAAAGGTAAGAATTCGGAAGATGACAACAGGTTGGGGAAGACAATTGGACCAGGATTGTGGTATACTGCTTGAAAATGCTTTGAAAATTCATCATCAATGTCATTAGGTTTAATTAAATGCTTACCATCAACCTCAAGCTGGATGGAATTAGGATTTCTTTTCTTAAAGGAGGCCACATATTTCCAGAATTGCTTGGGTTGCGACTTTAAATTTTCTTCCACAGTTTTCAACCATCTAAGTCTGTCAGACTTAATAGTAATCTTAACTAGCTTACGATAAAAGGAAAATTTTTGATAAAGGCATTCGGTTTTCTTTTTTTTTTAAAACTTCTGTAAAAATAGTTCTCTTTCCTGAAATAATACCTTAAGGAACTGGAATACCAGTGCGGGAATTTCACATGAGTGTTTATGATTCCACGGGGAATTGAATGTTCCATGGCATCTTGAACAGCAGCATTGAGGCCGGCGACAGCAGAATCCACGGAGGTGGTACCATATACACAGGACCAGTCGTAAGTTGAGAGATTATTATAAAGCAGTGCATAATTCCCAGACGAAAATTTACGGTGCGAATATTTATAGTTTTTAATACAAGTGGCAAGGGACAAACAAATATTGATAATTAGTGGGGGTGATAATTGTCAGGCTTTATAGGTCCAGAGTGAATAGGAGTAATACTTATGTCGCTTAAGTTTGAAAAAATTAAATCAAGTAGATTGCTGCTTCTGACATTATCAATGCACTGATTAAGATTTAGTAGACACGTGGAAGTGTAGATCGCATCTCCCTTAAGTTTAGAGTAATAATGGGAATTGGGCAGAGCTAGACCACTTTTCCAGTCAAAACCAGGGGCATTAAAATCCCCAACCATAATTACTCGAAAATTATGGGTATCCAGATTGTTTTCTAAAAAACTAAAGTAATTGGCAATGTTTTCAGTATTAGCGTCAGGGGGGAAGTAATGATTTCCAATGAGTAAGTTTAGGCAGTCTGAAGTGGGGATTTCAACCCATACACATTCATCGCAAGATTCTAAATCGTATCTGCGTTTACAAGAGCGAATTCTGGAGGATAGGGCAGTGAGAACTCCACCACCACGCGTCTTATTTACAGACGCCTTGTCAGAACGGAAAACTGTATAGCAGTCAGGAAATAAATTATGATCGTAACACAGGTCGTTTAGCCATGTCTCAGTTAAACATATAATATTGTAGTCCGTGGAGCAGATATTGTCATAAAGTTCGACTTGTTTTAGTCCTAAGACCTGTGACATTTTGATAATATATGTCAAAACATTTTCCAGGATGTTTGCGATACCTGGCGAAACAACATGTGTTGTTGACAGGCTTGCTAACTATTAACTATGCACAGAAGCGGCCTCCCCCTGGGCAACGACATTGTTTACCGTATTTACGGAATCGCCTACAGCAGCCATGTCAAACATGCGGCTCCCATAGCCACAAAGTGCGGCCCCTCAACTTTTAGAGCTAATTGATATTAAAATCAATATTACAATTTTAGTAGAAATACTTTTTGTAAGACAATTTTCCAACAGACCAGAAGACAAGAAGTCTCACACAGACATGAATTAGCAGGCTGCAGGAAAAGTGACTCTGAGAATTGCAGAAGGGTTTGTCCAACTAACGGTTTGTAAAGTTCTTGAAGGACAAACTGTTGTATTTCAGACGGTTAATGCACTAAAATCCGCACAGCCTCACCACCCCAAGTATTTCCAAGAATCCCTTCTGGAGGCGTAGTAAGGATACAAAGAGGGTAGCAACTGACAGACAAGTGCAAGGGATTTCTACCTTCAAAACTAGCTTGCAACCCCCAGCCATTGTCTAATGGGCTGCTAGCAAACTTTCACTTTTATGACCATTGACACAAGATACACCTTCCTACTAGTCCAGTGGTCTCTTGTGCATTGTCATTCAGTTCATTTTCACACAGCGACAGGTGCTGATGTTACATTGTGATGAACGTATAAAGGTTATAATTAAACATTAAATTATCAACTACGACTTTTCTTGTATATGTACAGTAACTTTTAAAGGGCAATGTCGCTTTCAAAACATTCAAGTAGCAAAAAGAGAACTAATGAAAATGAGCGCCGTGTTTTTTCAAGAAAAATGGGAAATCGCTTACTTCTGTTGTAAAATAGAAGGTAAAATTACATGTTTGATTTGTGGACAAAATATAAGCGTTCCACTTTAGGTAATTATATTGAAATTATTCCTAAATAATAAATAGAATTAAATTTCCTTGTATCAAAATCTAATGTATATTTCTATTTTGAAGTGCGGCCCTCGACTATTATTTATAGGGCTGAGGTGGCCCTCTGTACAAGCTGAGTTTGACATGACTGGCCTACAGATCCACGGGCGGGGGAGTAAGGGGACGAATATTACCTGCATCAGGGAAGCGAGGCCGAGAAATCTCTGATTCTTCAACAGTATAAATTTGATCCGCGCTTAATCGCCCATAAAAAGGAGCGATTAAACAGCCGTTAGGCCAGACTCCGGTATTATTAATGAGATGAAAATCATCCCCTGCAACAGAGACATGAAATGATGCATATGAGTTATATTTAGTAGTTTGTATCCTTGTGCAAGCAAGAGAAGCAAGCTGCAATTGATCCTTTAGAGAATTCTCAACATCAGATGATGTTACATCTGGGGAAAACCTAGAGACACAAATGGACTTCATACGGACCCTCTTCTGCACAACAGAGAGAGAAGAAGAGCTTCTCACTCCGATCATGCAACCCTGGGTTTCTTGGAGGCATTGGCAACAGTGTTCACGGTGTTAACAAGAGATGGGGCTACTCGCTTCTTCTTAACTACCGTTACAAAATCACCACCGGAAGGGTTTTCACCCGTCACAACGGATGGCTCAGGTAGTGAATTCATATCATGAGCTGTGACCTTGGAGACACTAGGGTTACCATTCAATGCACACACAACATCCCTGTATGATTTTGCTGTAGCTGTGGCAGATGTAGCAGCCTCACGCCGTGTTGATTGCACATGTGAGGGCGCCTGTTGAAGTTCACGCAGTTTCATCTTCATGGCTTCGTTGTCGATTCTAAGATGCTGAACTTCACTGCTGAGATTCGATAGCATCACGACTATAGATTTTACCATTTCCATGGTACAGATGCCATTGGTGCGAAGTGTTTCCAGCTGCACGCTGAGGGAATCTTTATCCCCTATACACGAAGCAGTGTACGGTAGCTCTGCAGTAATTGCTTCCTTCTGGTTATTATTGCAGAAGGAATGCTCGCTTGCAGCATCCCCCGTTAGTTTGATACAATCGTCGCACTTGTAAGCAGACGTACCGGTGGTTGCACTCACACTGGGCTCCGGAACACAATTACAATGAAAGCGCGAATCGCACACGCCACAACGAATAGATTTTTGCTTACCGTAAAACAGCTTTTCGCAGAGCCGACAGTGTTCCTTACTGGCCATACCTAAGCAGCGGTAGGCCTGTACACACAGAGAGACACTAGGCACTCAAGCGGGCGGGAGCACAAGCACGGCACGTCCGTTCAGCTCGAACGCTCGAGCAATAATAATAATAATAATAATAATAATAATAATAATAAGGGTCAAGGGGAAGAAGAGGCACAGATCCTCTCCGACCCCAGGAATATAGATGCGAATATATAGCCTCTCTATACTCAAGACCGTCCATGCGTGATGAAGAATCACACCCTACAAGAGGTAGCCCCGTTCAACATCTTAACAGAACATGGCGTATCTAGAGGAGTAAACCGCGAAAAAAAATCCCCTAGCCCAAAGTGTACACTACCGTGCTGATAGACTACAGGAGCACCCGCGGTGGAGGGTGAGAAGCCATAAACGGTGAACTCCAAGGAGCGGCGACCCTTGGTTTCAAGCAGCCTTACTGCGGCAGGCGGGGCAATACTGCAGCGGACAGAATAATTCCCTAGCTACTCGTGGGACAGCGACGGAAAAAAATGCAAATGAATATATGCACAAAGGCAGAAGGAGTAGAGCGCAATCCTCCAACGATCAACAAGGCANATACCTAAGCAGCGGTAGGCCTGTACACACAGAGAGACACTAGGCACTCAAGCGGGCGGGAGCACAAGCACGGCACGTCCGTTCAGCTCGAACGCTCGAGCAATAATAATAATAATAATAATAATAATAATAATAATAAGGGTCAAGGGGAAGAAGAGGCACAGATCCTCTCCGACCCCAGGGATATAGATGCGAATATATAGCCTCTCTATACTCAAGACCGTCCATGCGTGATGAAGAATCACACCCTACAAGAGGTAGCCCCGTTCAACATCTTAACAGAACATGGCGTATCTAGAGGAGTAAACCGCGAAAAAAAATCCCCTAGCCCAAAGTGTACACTACCGTGCTGATAGACTACAGGAGCACCCGCGGCGGAGGGTGAGAAGCCATAAACGGTGAACTCCAAGGAGCGGCGACCCTTGGTTTCAAGCAGCCTTACTGCGGCAGGCGGGGCAATACTGCAGCGGACAGAATAATTCCCTAGCTACTCGTGGGACAGCGACGGAAAAAAAATGCAAATGAATATATGCACAAAGGCAGAAGGAGTAGAGCGCAATCCTCCAACGATCAACAAGGCAAGAATGGTAACCACAAAGAGGAAACTCAACGTGGACCACCTCCAAAACAACCCAATGTCGGGGAATCAAACAGCGAAAACAAAGCTACTATACGGACCCGATGGAACAAAGAGGAAATGAAGGAAGTTGTGTGGTGTTTCCTGGCATGAACAGGCAATTACAAGGAAGCATATGAATTATGGAGAAGTAGAAATCTAAAAGTAAGGCCAACAATGAATGCAAAGCTACTACTAAACCAGAAAAACTACATTCTGAAGAATAAAAGACTTACAGATATTGAAATCGATGAGATAAGGGAAAGCATTAATGTGTATACAGAGGACAGCACAGGGGACCATGTAAGAAGGAAGGACGATAATGTAAGCACCAAAGAGGATGAAATACAGGATAGAAGCACGAGAGAGGACGCAGAGCAGAATGTGGAGAGGAACGGGTTAAAGGAACAACTTCAGGTAGCATGGCACAAGGTGAGATTCTCACAAATGTCAGAAAGAAGAAGACTGCCGAAATTGGAAGAAAACAAGAAGCTGGTTTGCCTTAAGGAACAAGTAAATGGAATAATAAAAGAACTCTTGGAAAAGAATCAAATAAACATAACAGAAGTGAACCACTTGATATACGATGCAGCAACAGATATCACAGAAACAACTATTAAACCTAGGAAAACAACGACAACCGGAAGATTTAAAGATGCTTGGAAACTAAGAATACAGAAACAGATAAGCAAATGGAGAAAAGAATTGTCCATACTCACTGAGTCAGGCTCTGGCTCTGATAACATTAAACTGAACACAGAAAAGAGGAAAATTTTTCAGAAGTACAAATTGACAAATGCCAGAGAAATAGCAGGGTTAATAGAAAAAGTAAAGCAGAAAATACAAGCAAAGGCTCAAAGAATCAGAAGATATGAAAAAAGGAAAAACCAGTACATCCAGAATAAAATGTTCAAGGAAAACACAAATCGATTTTATCGACACCTGGGGGCAAAAGCTATAGAGGTCACAGCTCACCCCAATATGCAGGAAGTAGAGTTCTACTGGCAGGCAATATGGGAAATGGAAAAGAGAGGAAAAAGGAAGAGAAGGAACCAGCGACATGAAGTGGATGCCTATAAAAACTACAGAATTTACCTCAGTTTTGTCCAAAACGCACAACTGGAAGTGATCAAATACAAAATTACTGGCTAAAAGCATTCCCAGTTACGCACAGTTATATTGTAGAAGCTTTGAATAAAATAATAGAAAAACCTCAACAAATGCCCGAATGGCTGACTACAGGTATAACATACCTACTTCCTAAATCGAAAAACACTATGGACCCAAAGAACTACCGACCGATTACTTGTTTATCGACTATATATAAGATGCTGACAGGAATTATTGCCAGAAGAATTTCGTTATATTTGGAGGAGCACAACCTATTGCCAGAAGAACAAAAAGGATGTCATCCAGGAAGTAAAGGATGCAAGGACCAGCTGCTGATATCAAAAGCAATACTTGAGGACTGCAGGAGGAGGAAAAAGAACCTAAACATGGCTTGGATTGACTATCAAAAGGCATTTGATAGAGTGCCCCACAGCTGGATAGAAAAGTCAATGGAACTAGTAGGAGTGAATGATAGGATAGTGAAATTTTGCAAACACTCCATGGAAAAATGGAACACAAAGCTTCAGCTGAGAACAAACCAGGAACTCATGCAATCACAACCCATTAAAATAAACAGAGGAATATTTCAGGGTGACTCATTATCACCACTACTTTTTTGTATAGCACTTATTCCTCTAACTCATGAATTAAACAGATCTGGATGTGGGTATCAGGTGCATGGATCTGAAAGGAAAATAGGTCACTTGTTGTATATGGATGACTTGAAACTGTTAGGGAAAAGTGAGGAAGAATTGAGGGACGAGATTAAAATTGTAAAAACATTCGGTAGTGTTATAAAAAATGGAGTTTCAATTAGAAAAATGTGCCAGAATTTTGATAAAAAAAGGTAAGGTTCAAAGAAAAGAGCATGTAGAAAACACAGGGGAGAATGAAATTAAAGAACTAGAAACAAATGGAGCATATAAGTACTTGGGAATAGAAGAGAACCACCAGATAGAACACAAGAAAGAGAAAGAAAGGTTGAAGAAGGAGTATGTAAGAAGATTAAGATTGATTTTGAACACAGAGCTGAATGCAAAAAACAAAATGCAAGCAATTGGATCATTGGCAGTACCAGTACTGAGATACAGTTTTGGAATTATTAAGTGGCACAAAGAGGAAATACAAAAATTGGACAGGAAAACAAGAAAAATGTTAACTACCTATGGACAGCATCACCCAAGAGCAGATATAGACGGCCTGTATGCTCCTAGAAAAGAGAGAGGACGAGGCCTGATACAGATAGAGGCGGCTTACTTGGCAGAAACCACAAACCTAGCGGAATATATAGAAGGAACAGAAGATCAACTGATGAAAATTGTTAGGACACACCAACACAACACAAGTTCTTCGCCTAACACAGCCTGCAAGCACACGGAGTTTTTACAAAAAAAGGCAATAGCTGAGAACACAAAAGAAAAATGGGAAAAGAAAAGAATGCACGGACAATACCCACGCAGCTTAG